AACTAATGAAAATATTAATATAAATCGTTTACGATTCATATTAATCGCCATTTTAATCGTTTCGATATTTATTCGATATTTTTTGACTTAATAACGGAAACGGAATCGAACCGGAAACGAATAAAAATTTCGTTGTTTTTCACATCCTCCCCCGTCCCTTCCCCCCGTTTCCTCCCACATCTCGAACCGGACCATAATAATAATAATAATAATACCGCGTGACCAATGCGATCCTCCTCGTTCCTTTCTAAAAGAAACCGGAATCTAACAAACTATTCATTAATAATTTTTTTTTTTTTTTTTTTGGGTCTTACCTTCCGTCATGGCCATGTCCATCAATTGTAAATCTTCGTCGTTCAATATGGAGGATAAAAATCCTTCGGTCGTTTGATTCATTTCAGAAGTCGAATTCTAAATAAAAAAAAAAATAAAAATAAAAAATGAAATAAAAAAACCGTTGCCGTCAGTCTTAATAATCGGCCATCGTAAACGCCGACATTATTATTATTATTATTATTATTATTATTATTATTATTATTATTATTATTATTATTATTATTATTATTATTATTATTATTATCATTATTATTAATTAAATAGTTTTAAAAAAAAATTTTATTTTTTTTCCCCGCCGGTATTTTAATTTAATTTTTCATTAATAATAATAATAATAATAATAATAATAATAATAATAATAATAATAATAATAATACGAGAAAATGGTAAAAATAAATAAATAAAAAAGCAGGAATTTTTTTAATTGATTGCAAAAATTTTAAAAGAAAAAGAATCGTTTTCGCACAAGTGAGAGAGAGAAAGAGAGAGAATTAATCTAACTACCAAAATGTCTCCCCGTAGGTACGTACCTGATAGTACATCAAATCGTGAGGATTTTCCATTTTGAAAACGGAACTACCATCCGATATAGGTTCGCTGCTGTTTGTCAAATTCATTGAAGTCGCCACAGCCGAACCCAAATTCGAGGAGCTCCCTAGAAAAAAAAATAGAAAAAATCAAAATTAATATCGTCAACCCTCCCCCCATCCTGTTCTCCTCATGATCATGATAATAATAATTGTGGTCGTGATTGAAAATAATCAGGAAAACCTGAATCGATTTAAATTAATTGTAAAAAGAGGAATTATAATGACTCCATCTTCACGCATGCAATCATTTTGATTAATTATCATCATCATCATTATTATTATTTTAATAGAAAAGTTAAGGAAAGGGGATAATGATGATAATAATAATACTTAAACAATCAATCGCCATTCGTACGAAGGAAAAAAAAATAGGGGAGGGGGAAAAATCAATAATGGACACAAGAAATTCATTCCAATCACGTTATCGATAACAAACAACGGCAACGTGACGATAACGATGATGATAATAATAATAATAATAATAATAATAATAATAATAATAATAATAATAATAATAATAATAATCATGGATTCGCATTTTATATAAAATTAAATTTCTACTTTTTTTTTGCGAAAGTTCTTATCATTTTGCTCTCTCTCTCTCTTGTTTCCCGTAGCAAAGTTCCAAGAGGAAGAATTGCATGAAACACAAAAGCGCGAGATAAAATGACGTAAATTAAATATGGCGTCGCGTCGGGATCTTTAAGGGATTTTCTGCGGGATCGTCATCGACTACAAACTCTCGAAATTTCCATAGTTGATGCTTACAATCCTAATGGTTGATTCGAAATCATTATTATTACGTCACGATTTATATAAAAAAAA